AGACGTTTATTTAAAAATTAAAATTCGCAGGTTCTGTACAGAAAGAGAGCTAGTTTACAAAACGGTCTTATGAGTCATCCTGTAAGTTCAGTGCGTGTAGGGCTTGCTCTTCTTCTTCTAAAGCGTTTATTCTTGCTTGCCCTGCAATAGAAGGAAAACAAAATCTATTAACAACATCATACATGATGATTTTAATCCCGTTACAACGCACCTGCTTGTAAAAGGTGGTCATCACAGGCTCAAGGTCATGGATTTCAGATTTGTGTAGTAAGGACAGAAGGCCTACGGCCTATGTTATTCCTTTTCTAGTATGCTTCTGTGAGTGTCCAGTCTTCTCTTGAAAGAGTCAATTGAAGGTGCGGACACCACTGCTTCAGGCAGCAGGTTCCAAGTATTGATGACGCGGTGTGAAAACCTGTATGCCACGGGTATTTTGTTCGTTCTTGGCTTTTCTACTCGCCTGCTATGTCCTCTGAGGTGTCCCGATCTCAAATAACAGTTTGTTACATGAGGCATGCCAGTTTACAGGCAAGATCAAATTGATACAAATGATACAATATACACTGTATTAAATTACATAGCTGGGTTGAAAATTTATGAGACATGAATGTAGATTGTTTTAATCAGTACTATAGTTGGCGCGCTTCACGAAAGTTGCGTTGCGAATGTGCGACTGATGGTCAAGAATAGGTCCATTGAAGGTATGAGCTTCTAGAAATCGCAATCTTATGTCCCTTTGGGATATCCAAGGCTTTAAGGATGGTGCAGGATGAAGTAACCTGTTCCATATCTCAAGGGGGCTGAAAGAGCGAGCAAGTAAAAGAAAACACGAGAGGCAGAGTAGCCAATATTCATGTAGGAATGTTTAAGGTATGATTACTCAGTCTAATTTTCTTTTATTAAGGTATTTGTTAAGAAAGAGCATTTTAATAGGTTAAAGAAAATAAGCTTTAGCAAGGTGTGAGTGGACATACAACTGACAAATGGAGGCGATTCGGAAAAGAGCTGAGAGTATAAGATTATGTGTGATTATAAAATAAAATATAGTGCTAGAAACAGTATTGTGATATACAACTGGCTATCTTCCTTTTATTATCGAAGCTATTAGAGCCCCTTTCGTTTTTTTATTTGTTTTTTTTCAGGTTTTATAGGGTCTTGAGTAGGCTTCGTATATTGGCGAATTGTCTAGTTTGCTTGTAATAGGATTTCTGAGTAGGAAGTGAAACCAATTCAACGTTCGTAACACGATTTAAAGAGGTATTTTGCGTGATAAATCAGCTTCAATACCTTAAGTCCGTGACATCCCACTAAACCATAAGGAGCCGTAATTAAACAAAATGTTCTGCCCTACAGACATGGGTGGATTGAAGTTATCTCCCCACCTTCACGTTTGCTGGTCAGTAACGCCACCCTCCCTCCTTTTGTGATGTTAGGCTCTCTTACGTTTGTGGTAAGTATGATTAATGCTTTAATCAAAGCACATAGTTGGAATACACTGTCTCTACTAGGTCCATGTTACAAGCAAATCAGATATTTAAAAATTCTGTTTTATGGGTTAGATGTCCATATAGTATATCACACTGCTATGAAAATAACTAATGGTTTAAAGAAGTAAGGATTAATAGTAAATCAAAAGATATGAGAGGGTATAAAATTGTAGAAAAAAAGAAAAAGATTTTAGGGTGAGAAAAATAAAACATTGAGAAACTCACAAGACTTTGTGGCCAAATTTTGAGCTTTGAATGATCGGCCTTAGTAGATCAGCATCCATAAGATTGAGCTATCTGTCTACTTGCAGTAGAAAAAAAAGCATGACTTTTAGGAAGAATAATGTACATTTAACCTGTAGAGATTTGGGGACTGAAAGCTAGGGTTAGGAGCATGAAATCATGATTAATAAACAATGAATAATAGGAAAGGATAAGCCATATATCCTGTGATTTGGTTATATTCAGATTAGTAACAGTCGAACTTGTTATAATTTTGTTCTTTCTAGATACTAGGCGGTCCGTAATAAAGTGCCTCATCGGTGGGCGGGAGTTCAAGGTAATGTTGAAGCTCTTTGGAGTCTAGAAATAGGGTTATTAGCTTTTTGAACCTGGTAAACGTATCACAGTTACGGATAGGCATTGGCAGCCTGTTCCACAATAAACTGTACCGTACTGTAAAGAACTTACAACGCATTTGTTTTTGGTGTTTTACGGTAAGTAGTGTATATGCGTTGTTTCTAAGTCTATAGGCTGGGTCGTGGGTGATAGTCGGGCAGGAGGTTAGAAAGGAAAGCCCATATATCGCTTTGTAGAGAAATATTAAATTGTGTTTTAGCCTACGGTGCCATAAAGGTTCTAAAGATAGATGCTTACATCTGTCTGTGTAATCGAGATTCGAGTTACATCCTAGTAGTTGACGTGTGAAACGTCTTTGAACATCTTCTACTCTTATCTTGTCTGCGATATTCATATTAGAGAAGACAAAAGAGCAGTATTCAAGGGTGGGTCGTACACATATTTTGTAGAGAGTAAGTTTACCCTCTGTTGTGAAAAAGTTTTTCATTATAAAACCAATTAGCCGTCTAGATTTAGAAATAATAGAGGAGGCATGTTCTTCAAAGTTTAGGCTTCCTGTGTAATTAATTCCTAAATCGTGTACTGATTCGAGTGTTTGGACTATACATTCATTTAAGTGAAGTCGCGGTTTATAGGGATGCTTTCCAAAGTGCATGATCCCGCACTTGTTGAGGTTAAATGGTAATTGCCATTTTTCACTCCATATAGTTAAGTTATTGAGGTCCTTTTGGATCTGGGATACACTTTCGCTTAGTGTCTCAGGCTTATAGCTGTATACTATTTTGAGATCATCAGCATATAAGTACGGTTTCCCAAATTCTATGGTGTTACATATATCGTTTATATACATAAGAAACAAAAGTGGCCCTAATACGCTTCCCTGGATGACTCCACTGGTGATTGGTCTAGGGGACGAGAGACAGTCATTGTACTTTACCATCTGTTTACGTTCTGTTAAGAACGAAGCAAACCATGAGTACAGTGGGTTGTGTATTCCGAAGGACTTTAGTTTGATGAGTAGCCTTTTGTGTGGGACCTTATCAAAGGCTTTCTTAAAGTCTAGGAATAGGACTGATACAAGGAGTCCGCTGTCTCGTTTCAGAGTTATATCATTCAGGTAGTCTACTAGGCATGTATCGCATGATCTGGACCTAAGAAATCCATGCTGGGAGGTCGACAAGAGATTGTTAGTTAATAGATGCTGGACTACAGCCGCCTTAACTACTTTTTCCATCACTCTGGATACCACTGAAGTTATGTTTATAGGCCGGTAATTTTCAACGTTTGCTGCAGGTCCTGTTTTAATTTTGGGAATGATATGTGTAGTTTTCCAGGCAGTAGGGTAACACGCTGAAGAGAGTGATATCGCGAATAGTTTGAGAAGCAAAACACACATATCATCACCTCCACGTTTTAGCATGCTAGATGGAATACCATCTGGTCCATCAGTGTAGGAGTGTTTCAATGTACTGATTGCTTTGGAGATATTTTGTACACTGAATTCTACATTAGTAATTTCACAGGGAGTTACTGGGATTGGTTCTGAATCATTAAATGGTTTTTCGTTAGTTAGTGAGAAACAAAAATGTTCACTGAATAATTCTGTGATAAGTTTGGGATCTTCGTATACTTGTTTGCCTTTAATGAATATACTCCCTCTCGATTTAGAGCGTTTAAGTTTATTTTGGAGTAGTATGGTGAGTGCAGAGGAGTTATTATTAAGTTCAACTGCACGTTTTTCCTGTGCTACTGCTTTTTGTTTACTTATTGCCTCTGTTCGGACAAGTATTTCTGTCATCGTTACTAAAGAGGAAAAGTCATTTAAGTTGTGGAATCGAGTACAATGTCTTTGAAGACGTCTTCTTGTACTGACCGGTATATAGAGATCTTTGGAGAACGTAGGTTTACAGTATTCTAAAGGTGCGATGTTGTTGATGATACTTTTGATGTTGTGATAAAATATATTGGTTAATGTGTCGGTATTGTTTGAGGTAAAGAAAGTTCTCCAATCAGTGCTTCTTAGGTAATTGTGGAAGTTATTGCAATCAACCTTGCGATAGTTTCTACGAAGTGTTACGGTTTTACTTCTATCGGTTGTGGTTTTTACATTAAGGCTGCATATGACAATGTTATGATCACTACCTGGGAACTTTTTTCCAATATACAAAGTATTGGGGATGAGGCCACTGGTAAAGACTAAGTCTAAGATGTTTTGATGTCTGGTAGGGCTATCGACATACTGAGTCCATTGTCCAAGCTCTAGACATTCAATAAATGATTCATAACGTCTCGGCGCTTTGACTGGCAGCCAAGAAATTTCGGGCATATTGAAGTCACCACAAATGAGCTTGCCTGTGAATGAGAGGGATGATGCTAGCGTGAATACCTCCGATAATACTGCTATTTCATCTATCGATGCGTTAGGTTGACGATAAACACAGCCGAGCAGTAAGGTAACGGAATTCGACGGCTTTAATACAATCCACACCGAATCCTTCAGTTTGTTTAGTTCAGGCATATCACATAGCAGTGAGTTCAGGCTAGAGTGAGCGTAAATAAGGCATCCTCCGCCTCGTCCATTCAATCTATCGCTTCTATATAGGGAATAGTTATCTAGAGATATGCTTCGGTCGGAAATATTACTGTTAGTCCATGCTTCAGATATCATAATAACTGATGGTTGATATATGGATACAAACAGGGCTAAATCCGTCTTTTTGTTGCAGATCGATCGAGTGTTGATAAGACATATATTAAGCAAGTGGCCTACTAAGTTAAAATGGGTGAGGGTATTTCGGATAAAGTCGTCGTAACCCTCGAGAGTGTAAGATGAGTTTGATGTGAGGGATTGGATGTTCTTCATTAGCTCGGTATTTTGATAGTTAAACTTATTGGGAGATGTATCAAATGAGCTGGTGAAGTTGATTGGGGAGTTTACCCAGGAGGAAAGGGTGGGAGTACTCTGTGATGGAAACTGTACGGAGGAAACAAATTTATGGTTTGCATGTGGTTTGAAATAACCTGGGCTATATGCTTCAACAGAGGTGTCACTAGGGGTCTTATTCCAAAAAAATCTTGTACAGGCCTGCTGTGAAGTGTATGGTTATTTACAAAATAGTCTTGATGGTTAGACTCGTAGCCCCTGTTATGGCTATTTACGTTAGCGCGAGAGGGGTCTGCTACGCGTAACTGGGAGGAGTTGCGACTGTTGTTATACATGGGAGCCGTTGTTATGTGATGGGTCGGTACTAAAGGGTATGAGAAGTTTTCTTTTTGAGAGTAATTACAGTTGCGATCCTGGGGAATGTAGGTAGGGTGTGAAGTGAGAAACCTATTATTACCGTTCTTATTTATGGTTTTAGGCTTCAGGGGGTGATTTGGGTGGCCAGTTCTCTGGTAGTTTTCGTTAGTCTGCGTGTAAGAAGGCTTGCTACGTTGAAGCCCACCACCCTTTTTGCAACTTGGAGGTGTTGAAGGCAAGTTATACGATAGCAGCGGGGAGAACCTGTTCACTGTTCTTGGGATACCTATAGAGCAGTTGGGTTCAATCTTGCGTGTTTCCCTATTCGGTATCATGAGTTTTGTCTTCCCACCCTTTATTTTCAGAGCAGGATTCTTTCGTTGTCTTTGTGAGATGAACTTACGTTCATTCAAGTCTACTTGTGGAATGTCTTTAGGAGGACAAATTTTCAAGTGTATAGGTTTAGTTGCACATGTGTTGTTACACGACTCACATTTTAGTACATTACTGAATGAACAGCTGGGATTAGTCATGTCGTTATGGTTTTTGGTGTCAGTTGGGGTCCGTATCTTATCCAAAGGTTTCTGATCTGTAGACTCATCTAGATCAACAGAGTGATCAGCCGTATGTGGAGTGGTGTCATGCTTAATGTTCGTGTGTTTTAAACTATTTGCTGTGTTGCAAACTGTCTCTGGCTGATTATTAACTGTAACACTCCCATTCAATTCTATCGCTTCGCGTCTTCTTACACGACGTTGACAGGGCGTAAGGTCTGGAGTGACTTTTATATTTTTGTATGGAATTAGTGAGCTAATGTTTTTGCTCAAATCAATAAACTGCTTAGCATCGTTACAACAGCCAAACATAAACAAGAGGGGGCAAGTTGATCTGTCTGACTTTTTTCTAAGGCGGATGACTTTGCAGTTAACGTTCGGCATACCGCATGCTCTAAGGCAAATATCTCTTAACTTAGATGGGTGTGTGCGGTCGGGGAGGTTATACACAACTGCATTGTAGGAGGACATCATTCTCTTCGTCACTTCTTCAGCCACAAACTCCAAAATACACTCAGCTTTAGTGAGTTGCTCAAGATTTCTGTCTGTGTCAAGGCCCCATATATGAGTGAGGGGTGCTAATTGCTCAAGTTTGCCGTTAATTTCGCATAGAGAGTTTTGTAGCTGTCGGACGTCATTACTATATCTATCAGTATTTTGGTGCGTATGAGGTGGACCATTGGACTCTTTAGTTTTTGAAATTTTAGACTTAGGCCTTGGTAGCACATACTGTTTAGTAGACTGTGCTGACTTTTCAATGCACGTAGGTATAGTGTCTTGTATGTCAACCAGTCTTACCGTTGGCATACTGCACGTAAAGATAGAGGGGCTGCGACATGGAGAATCTGGTGACGATAGAGACATTTGTGTACAATGCACATATTTTTCAGTAGTTAAAGGTTCGACATTGTCAAGCACTGAGTCGTCAGTTGTAGGGGTTACAGATTTGGACCTTTTATTTGGCTTAGAAGTTGGTGAAATTCCTCTTTTACTGGAGTTATTGGACATGATATGAATATAAGTGAGCACAGTGCTCGTTAAATTAAATATAATATCTGAGTATTAGTTGTTATCAAGTATTAACCTGGTTAATACTAGGATTAGAGACTGTGAGTATATAATAAATTGCAGACCTATTTACGACTTAAGTCCGCAATAGGTACAATACGAACTGGTAATTGTCCGTCGAATAAAAATAAGTTTTTTCTTATGTTTCGAGGTGAGATGTTCTCGATGTACAGGATAGGATGATAATCACAGTATAATACACCCTACAAAAGAGCAAGTCGAAGAATTCCTAAACCACGTGAAAAAAAATGTTACCACATTCAAAGTTCGCGCTAGTAGGGAAGAAAGAGAGAGAATAAGTTAGGTGCGAAATCATTTCTCAGTATTCTGTACATCAATATTATATCTCCCCTTAGTCTGCGATAGGACAGAGTAAAGAGGTTCAGCTTTTCAAGCCGCTCTTTATATGATAAACCCCGGAGTTACGGAATTGCACGCGTAGCTGCCCTCTGTACCTTTTCTAGTATGTCTGAGTCACCTTTTAAACAGGGGCTTGCAGCCTGAACACAGTTCTCTAACTTAGTTCTCACTAAGGATGTTGTAGATCACCAACGTAGATGATCTATGTCGAAATGATTGGAGGCCGACTCGAGTTAGACGTGAATAGTGTGACGAACCAACTAACGTCGAAATCACACCTCGTGGTCAGCACCTTACGTGGACTACCCCCATTGACGTAACAAGGTACTATAGATGCTTTGAAGACTGTACAACACAAAGGACGTTATTACAGAAATATATTAGTTAAAGTAGATACAAGCGAAAGTAAGACCACTGCCGCATGGGCCAGTCCATGGCGTATGATTAACTAATGCGCGTTGCTTGTACATGACCTTGGCAGGGAGCGATGATCTGTTCGACATTCAGTGATCCAACTGCCGGATGATTTGGCTAGGGCTCAGTGACATTTCACTGGCCCTACAATACTCCCCCACCAGATTCAACGGCCGTTTGAATCGGTACCAAACATGTTGGGAGCAGTCGCGCGCCGGAGAGTGCCAAACGAATATTATAAATCCTCCAGGTATTGCTTATCTGTAAAACAAATGGAAAGGAGGCGGCAGAAACTGGTCGGGAAACAGCGAGTCCTAATGTGTTAGTAGGACGTTGGTTAAACGTAAAGCGATTAATCATAGAAATAATGAAAAGAACAAAACGTTTTATTGTTCTATCAAGTCGCGCTGAAATATATAGCGTTGACAAGTAATTCAGTTCCTCCGATGACAAACGTTAAGTCTGCCGCAAGAGTAATGATGCTATAGCGATAGTAGGATAAGTGTATTATCAATCGATATCCATATTTGTACTGTCATTAGTTTAAAGTTGTAAGTCGGACAGTGTCGTTGACAGCTATTAATTAGTGTCAAATTCTAGTTATATCTATATCTAACAGACTAACCGTAAGTACAGAAGTATAACAGTGAAGAGTGGTCGTGATTTCGTTGTGCGAAGCTATTGACCAACTTGTAGTCACAGTTTGAAAAGTCGATGACTGCTGTTACAGTCAGTAAGGGTTGAAGGCTACAAATCGACAGCAAAGGTGGCACGATGAAGTCTCTAAAAGATGATAAACGGTGAATGCTGCGTGTTTGTTCGGTTAGTGAACAGAAAAATATCGAAAAGAACATAAGAAACCAAGAGTGTCACTCTGGACTCATGTCAATGATACCCGTAAAAAACGCTGTCAGTGTTGGGATAGAGGCGACAATATCGTTTTCAGTTTGCAGGAGATTCGCTCGACTGCATAAACTGATGATTCGCGCGAATGATATTGTCGTCAGACCACCAATTGAACTGGACAGGTTGTAAATCGTCGAGTAGTTGAACAGCCGATTGATGTACCGGAATCATCGGTGAGATAACAGCCACGAGGAAACAATACTTCATAAAATGAGGTACGACATCGAAGTAGAACAACTACAATAGTTCAGATGTGTTACAATGTCAAGTCTAAATAACATCGTTCTTACGTATACTGACAGTTGCACTGAACGTTCGCTTAGGTATGATTAGCGTAACAGTTGGATGTGTGAATAAAAACATATACGAAAACTATGGTTGGGTTCGTGGAGAATTTTCGAGGACGTTTAGATATTTTCCAAACCCGTATCGCATGTAAATAAACCGAAAATAGAATTAAAATGACTGTTAAGTAATAAGGAAATCGAGCCATGATTTACCGTGTGAATTATTAGTAAATACAAGGGGTATAATAAACATTAATTAAAATGGTAACCACCAATGTAACTAAGGTTTAGAGGGTCCAGGTAACGTGGCCATTTCGTAAAAGGCTGATACAAAGAGCTTATTACCTAGCGTTAAGTGACATATTAAGTACGACAACATGTGTACTTGGGACATGGACTAAGCGTGCTCGTGTACATGCAATATGTTTTACCACAGTATGTCGACTAACGAGTCATAAATGTACATGATTTCGACTAAAACTTGACGGCAGTGACAGAATATATGACTGGTTTACGTGAAAGCAACTACGAAATGTTATCACGCATCATAAATATAGTACGAAATAATCTAATGAAATTATGAAACTCGCCTGGGTTACTCTTGCCTTTAAGTAATGAAGTAGGCAGTAGTTTGAATCTGGATTATGTACGAGGTACTGTTGATTAAATTTTTCGATTAACACAGCGTTGTAGACTGAATTTGTATAAGTCCAGAATTAATGTAAGCCGAATACATAGCATTACCTGACGAACAGTCTAAACGAGATCTAAGATCGCAGGAAATTTATAGTTCAAACTCACCGTGAATTTCTAGCATTCGTATCCTCTGTTTGGCCATGGAACTCAGCAATTGGAAATTAGGCAGGCAGTGGTAAAAAAAAGCAGAACATTCTAGTGGATAGTGGTTAAGCAGAAAGATGAATTTATAGTCGATAGTTAATCTTGTCTTATTTATACCAGTGGATAAGGTACAAAGAGATATGCGTTCGTGTTGCCTTGTGGCTATACTCACGAGTGGTTGATATTTTAACAGACATATTACACAGGAGCATTTACATGCTGCTAATGCTTGTTAAAGAACCACGATAGCCGATTATAATCGTAGTTGATTGGTTAGTTCTGTCGATTGAACGAATTATCTAGGTTTAAATGCTAATCAACATTGACATGAAGCAACGAAAGTTCACAGTAACAGATTAACATAGGCGATGATAAAAATGAAAAAGAATAAGTATAGAATACAATAATAAAGATTATAGTGATAGGTTGCGTTATTCGAAGTCTTGCTCACCAGTGTAGATCACCAACGTAGATGATCTATGTCGAAATGATTGGAGGCCGACTCGAGTTAGACGTGAATAGTGTGACGAACCAACTAACGTCGAAATCACACCTCGTGGTCAGCACCTTACGTGGACTACCCCCATTGACGTAACAAGGTACTATAGATGCTTTGAAGACTGTACAACACAAAGGACGTTATTACAGAAATATATTAGTTAAAGTAGATACAAGCGAAAGTAAGACCACTGCCGCATGGGCCAGTCCATGGCGTATGATTAACTAATGCGCGTTGCTTGTACATGACCTTGGCAGGGAGCGATGATCTGTTCGACATTCAGTGATCCAACTGCCGGATGATTTGGCTAGGGCTCAGTGACATTTCACTGGCCCTACAATGTGTATAATTTGGTGAACATGGTAGTATCAAGGTTAGTGAATGTCCTTTTTAAAACCCAGAGGGTTCGAAACCCCTTAACTTCGACCTCCCGGCAATGGGCCGTCGTCTTAAGATCAATGCTCACTGTCACCCCTAGATCCTTATGAGACCGGACTATGGGTAATGACACATCCCCTATGTTGTACGTATTAACCTTTGAATCCCCCAAATGCATGCAGACACACTTTTCCGCGTTGATAGTCATCAGCCACTCTTTAGACCAGTTTATCATATTATTTAAGTCTGCCTGAAGAGTAAATGCGTCTTTGTCTCCAGTTATTACTCACCAAATTTTTACATCGTCAGCGTATAATAACATTGGAGACTGTACTATACTTGTAAGATCATTAACGTACATTATAAAAAGTAAAGGACCTAAGACGGAATCTTGGGGTACTCCACTAAGTACTGGTCTCCAGATGGAGCACTTGGAATTTATCCTTACTTTTTGCCTACGACTCACTAGGAAATCCTTAATCCATTTTAAAAGAGGTCTGGCAATATTAAGGTTTGCCAACTTCAATAGCAGTCTATTAGTTGGCACCTTGTCAAAAGCC